ATCATTCCAAGGGTTTTCAATCTCAAAACAAGGATTAACAATGCTAATCCATCTATCTCAAGTCCCCAAATGAAGCTAATTTGGGTTCTCCCCGAAAACAGGGGTCAAAACAACACTTTTCAGGCCAAACAGGGTCAAACCCGTGTCCACCAGTCAACTGGTGACAGAGCAGTACAACACTACCGGTCGACCAGTAAGGTGCACACCGGTCGACCGGCCAGCCTGCAATCCGGTCGACCGCACAGGTCGACCGGTGGAATCGACTGCGTGAGAGAAGCTCGCGGAAATCAGTCTAAAAACCTGCAAATCCAGTCCCAAATCCAAATATTTCAAAGGGAAACCACTAGATCTGGGTTCTAGGTCCTAAAACAAGTACAAAGAACCCAAGATCTCTAATTTCTACTCTAGTTTTACTCAAAATCATCAAAATCCGTTTTGAACCAAAAATAAGTTTTGAAATCCGAAAAACATAGATTCAAGAGAGGTTCTTTTAGTAATCTTACCTCGAATCCTTCTCTTGACGTTGAAAACTCTTTGAAATCACTCTTGGTTCGAATCCGGTTTTGATTTGAGACACAAATGGGAGAGAGAGAGGGAGAGAGAGCACGGAAGTGTGTGTGAGAGAGAGAGAGAAACGCACGGGAAAGAAAAAGAAAAGGAAGGAAAAGAAAGGAAAAAGAAAAAGAAAAGAAAAGAAAAGAAAAATAAAAGAAAGTGACACGTGTAAAATATAACAGTCCAGAAATGCGCCCATACACACTTCTGGATTAAATAAATTACTGTGAATAATTTAAATACCTTAGAATTATTTAAACTCAATTAATTAAATCAGATTAGGCACACTAATAATCTCAATTACCTTAATTAATCTCCATCAATTCTTCAGGGTGTTACATAAAACTCATCCTCCTGGGCCGCCATATTGTCCAAATTAAAATATTTCTCATTAAACTCCTCAATAAAATTTTACCAGGTCATCAAATTGATGTCCTTCCTTAATTTTATTGTCTGCCACCAGCGGTGAGCTTCCTTCTTTAGCATATAAGAGGCACATAAAACTTTCTCTTGATCGTTCAATCTCATAAGATTTAAGATCACTTGAACATCATTCAGCCAGTTATCTGCCCCTATGTCACACCCCCCAAATGGGGTGGATAACGTGGAACTCGATTAGGGGTTAATCAAGCAAATTCCCAAATGAGCCCCACTTAACTTGATTAAAATATAATATGAATTCCTATGTCCTGAGCCTCTGACAACACATAGGGCTCCACCCACAGGACATACAGTATTGTACTTAAATGAACATGTAAATAATCATCACAGACATCAACCACAGTCTAGTAAATCCAAATATTACATGAGTTTACAAAAGTTCACTTCCTTACATTTATATGTCAGAAGATGAACACAATCCTCGGTTGATCCAACAGTAGCAAATATCTAGCTACTCTATATTGCTTTTAGAGTCTCCTGGGAGGGGTTAACATTTGAAAACATTGAAACGTGAGCGAAAGGCCCAGTAGGATATATTTGAAATAAACTTTACAAATAAGTGAATAAATAAATGTGTGCATAAATAAATAAGACATTCAGTTCCAACACAACAGCTGGAACCTTATATCCTTTTTCTCAAAGGAAATATAACTGAAAATCACCGTATTACAGGCATCAGCAAGTAATTTGTACAAATTACTTACACAACCAAGTGCACAAGCCTACCTGGACCAAGTTTTGGGTTCTGCCCCCGAGGATGCATTCCCCACATCCTATCTAGGCTATCAGCAATATTTTCTTACCGGTTCACAAGATCTCTTTCATTATGAAATCATTTATTAAACATTATGAAATCGTTATTATAATTCCATGAACTACAACAAGCCGTGGGTCCCCATGAACAACAACAAGCCATGGGTTCCGTGAACTACAATAAGCCATGGTTTTAGAGTATTTTTCTTTTGCAAACAAGCCCCTTTCTTTAAAACATTCGTAAGCCCAAAAATCCTTTTGAAAATCAGGCTCACAAAGAAAGGGATAGAAATCCTACCTCAAATTTACCAAACCTGTGGCTAGCGGCGCACTATCCCAGCTTTCGCTTCCTCAAGCCAACCAGTCTGAGTCCTCAGCTATCACTGTCACAAGACAATACTTTAGGATTCTAATCTCATTCCTAAAGTAATTCAGACTCAATCATATCCTTTGATTTTCCTATTAGTATGCCATAATCAATTTCATGTTTCAAATCATAATTCCAAGGGTTTTAATTCAAAAACATGGATTAAAGATGCTAATGCATTGACTCTAGGTCTCCAAATGAAGCTAATTTGGGTCCTCCCCGAAAACGGGGGTCAAAACAACAATTTCAGGCCAAACAGGGTCAAACCCCGTGTACACCGGATGACCGGTGACAGACAGGGCTTCACCACCGGTCGATCGGTGGTGTGCAATCTGGTTGACCAGTGGCCTCAGTGTAACCCGGTCGACCGGTGAAGAACTCCAATACAAGAAAATTCATGGAAATCAGTCTAAAAACCTGTAAATCTAGTCCCAATTCACAATATCTCAAGGGACAACACTTGAATCCAGCTTCTAGGCACTAAAACAAGTACAAAGAACCCAAGATCCCCAATTTCTACCCTAGTTTTACTCAAAATCCATCAAAATTCATTTTCGAACCAAAAATAAGTTTTAGAATCCAAAATCTAGAGATTCAGGAGAGTTTTTTCAGAAATCGTACCTTGAATCCTTCTCTTGACGTTGAAAACTCTTTGAAACTTTCCTTTGGTTTGAAATCCGGTTGATTTGAAGCGAACGAGAGGCAGGACCGAAAGAGTGAGAGAGAGAAAGGGTGCACGGGAAGGAAGGAAAAGAAAAAGAAAGAAAAGGAAGAAAAGAAAAAGAAAAAGAAAAGAAAATAGACAAGTACCAACATTTAAAGAAAACCGTCTAGAAATGCGCCCATACACACTTCTGAGTTAAAATTAAAATTACTGAGAATATTTAAATACCTTGGAATTATTTAAATTACACGTCAGAAACATTTATTAATCAAAACCCAATTAATTAAATTAGATTAGGCACACTAATAAATCTTAATTATCTCAATTAATTCCACTTAATTCTTCGGGGTGTTACAACTCTACCGCCTTAAGTAATTTCGTCCTCGAAATTAGAACTCACCTCACAGTGGAAACAGATGCGGGTATCATTCCCGCATCATCATTTCAAGCTCCCATGTTGCTTCTTCAACTCCATGGTGCTGCCACAACACTTTCACTAACGGTATCTCACGATGACGCAGACTCTTCATCTTCCGATCAAGAATCTGAACTGGTGCCTCCCGTATGTCGTGTCATACTGTATCGGAACATCATACCATTGTACTATAGCTTTCGGATCAGGTTGACATTTTCAAAGCATGGAGACATGGAACACGTCATGCACGTGAGATAACTCAGGCGGTCAAGCCAATCGATACGCCACAACACCGACTCGTTGCACGATCGGGAATGGTCCAATATACCTTGGCATAAGCTTTCCTTTCACACCAAATCGAACAACTCCCTTGTGAGAGGAAACCTTCAACAGAACAACGTCACCTTCCTGGAATTCCAAAGGCCTACGATGTAAGCAGTCGTTCCCGAATCACTTTGAGCTGTAAGCAGTCATTCTCGAATCACAGCTATCTTCTCATTATTCTCTTGGATGACCTCTGGCCCAATAGTGAGTCGATCTTCTGGTTCCAACCAATAGACATGTGATCTACAAGGACGACCATACAAAGCCTCGAACGGTGCCATACCGATACTGGCCTGATAGCTGCTGTTGTAGGCGAATTCAGCAAGGTGCAGGTATTTCTTCCAGTTCCCGCCAAAATCCAGAATACAAGCATGAAGCATATCCTCTAGAATATGAATAACTCTTTCAGATTGCCCATCAGTCTGAGGATGAAATGTTGTGCTAAAGTTCAATTCCGTTCCCATGGCTTCCTAGAAACTCCTCCAATACCTTGCATTAAAACGCGTGTCATGATCAGACGTGATCGACAACGGTACTCTGTGAAGCCTGACAACATGCTCCAAGTACAACTCTGCCAGGATCTTCCTAGAATATGTCGCACGAAATGGTATGAAATGCATAAATTTCATCAACCTATCCACCACCACCCAGATGGCATCGTGCCTGTGCTCAGTTCTCAGTAGTCCCATCAGAAAGTCCATCGTGATGTGCTCCCATTTCTATCCCGGAACAGGTAAAGACTGCAACTCTCCAGTTGGCTTTTGATGTTCAGCGTTAATTCGGAGGTAAGTTACACATTCCAAGACGTATTCACGAATGTCTTTCTTCATGCCTTTCCACTAGTACTGTCTCTTTAGGTCCTGATACATCTTGGTACTTCCCGGATGAATAGCATATCTCGATTTGTGAGCCTCATGCAAAATTGCCTTCTTAATCTCATCCACTTTAGGAACAGCTAGGCAGACACGAAAGTACAGTGTCTTATCCTCTCAGATTCTCCAATCCTCAAGTTGTTCTACATTTTGGATTCGAACCTAGATTCCTTAGAGATGAGAATCTTGCCACTGATTCTGCTTGACTTGTTGCACAAGAGCTGGTGCAGAGATTAGATTATACACCATTGCCTGGTTATAATCCTCATGGTACTAGAGGTCATAATCGCTCACAACGTCAGTCCTCTTCTAGTCCTCCAGAGCTAATAACACTAAAGTCCTTGAGGTCTTCTTGCTAAGGGCATCAGCTACCACATTAGCTTTTCCTAGATGGTACTATAGTATGAAGTCGTAATCGTCCATGTACTCCACCCATCTCTTCTGCCTGAGGTTTAGATCTTTTTGAGTAAATAAGTACTTCAGACTCTTATGATCAGAAAACACTTGAAACTTTACCCCATAGAGATAACATCTCCATATCTTCAGAGCAAATATCACTGCTGCTAATTCCAAGTCATGCGTTGGGTAGTTTCGCTCATGCGGTCTCAGTTAGTGAGATGCATAAGCTACAACCTGTCCACCTTGCATCAAGACACAACCAAGTCCAACCCCCGAGGCATCAGAGTACACCTCATATGGTTCCTCGATATTGGGAATAGTCAGGACTGGTGTACTTGTCAGCCTTGCCTTCAATTCCTAAAAAGCACGTTCACATTCAGCATCCCACTTGAATCTGACCTCTTTCTTGGTCAACCGAGTCATCGATGCAGCAATACTCGAGAAGTCCTTTACAAAACGCCAATAGTACCCTGCAAGTCTGAGGAAACTGTGAATCTCTGCTACATTCTTCGGCCTTTCCCATTGTAGCATAATCTCGATCTTGGAAGGATCTACAGAAATTCCTTGTCCATAAATTACATGCCCAAGGAACTTCACTTTTGTCAGCCAGAAGTCACATTTCTCCATCTTGGCATACAACTGGTGTTCACGAAGGGTCTGAAGAACAATCCTCATATGCTATTCATGTTCTTCCCAAGTCTTCAAATACACCAGGATGTCTTTAATGAAAACAATTACAAACCGATCCAAGTACAGCCGGAAAACACGGTTCATTAAATCCATGAATGCCACCGGGGCATTCGTCAACGTAAAAGGCATTACAAGAAACTCGACGTGCCCATATCAAGTGCTAAAGGTTGTTTTCAGGATATCATCCTCCTTGATTTTCAACTGATGGTACCCAGACCTCAAGTCAATCTTAGAGTAAAACTATGATCCACCCAACTGATCGAATAACTCATCAATCCTCGGCAGTGGGTATTTATTCTTCACAGTTACCCTATTTAACTAACGATAGTCAATGCACAACTGGAGGGATCCGTCGTGCTTTTTCACAAACAACACCAGTGCACCCCAAGGGGAAATACTATTCTGTATATACCCCTTTCCTGCCAGCTCTTCAAGCTGCTTTCTTAATTCTCTCATTTCGGCCGGTGCCAGCCAGTATGGAGGAATAGAGATAGATGCCATTCCCAAAATCAAATCGATGTAGAATTCAATCTCCCGATCTGGCGGCAACCCAGGTAGATCCTCAGGAAATACATCTGCAAACTTATCCACTACAGGAATTCCTGCACTATCTCCACTTATCTCGGGTTCACCTTCCAAAGTAACAAGGGAAGAAAAATAGGCTAGATTCCTCCCTCCCCCAACATTGTACCTCAACAGGCATTCTCCCAAGACTGGATTCATATCTGCCTGATACGCAATAACCGCTCTAGACTTAGTCATCAAAGTCACTCTCCTACGGTAGCTATCAACAATTGCTCCGTATTTCGATAGCCAATCCATTCTGAGTACCACGTCAAAGATACCCATCGGAAGGATAATCAAATCAGCTCTCAATCGCTCACCCCCAATCGTGATTTCACATGATCTACACACACTCATTACCTCCAGACACCCAAGTGGGGAGTTCAAAGTCATCGGGACTTCTAAATTCTCAGATTTTAGTTTCAAAGTCTGAACAGAAGAACTCGATATAAAAGAGTGTGTGGCACTTGTATCAAACGACACATGAGCAAGAGAATGAGAGATTATAATCATACCCTCAACCACCGTATTACTGGCCTGACCGCCAGAACTGCCTCCTGTCAGGGTGTAAGCTTTCCCGTTCGCTTTCCCCTTCCCTTTATCACCAACATTAGGCCTTTGGGTCAATGGCCTATACTTTCATGGAGGAGGTATCTATACCGGTCCCGGCGCCTGGGGCCGTAACTGTGTGTACTGAGGTGGTCGGTAGGCTGGCACGGGAAGGTAAGATGTTGGCACTTGCAGCTGCGGCTGGTAAGGCGGCATGAACTGCGGTGGCCTCTCTTGACCATAGGAAACATCACCCTGGGGCTATTGAATCTGCGGCTGGTTTCGGTTAGGACAATTCCTCCTAATATGACCAACCTACCCACAGTGATGGCACTTTGGTCGGTAGGGAGAATTTCTATCACTCCCAGATGAACTACTACCACCACTTATCACATCCCTACTAACCTACCCTTGGTTCCAATTTCTTCTGCTGCTCTATTGTGGCCCACACAAAGCAAAGGATCCACTCGAAGCAGAAGCTCGAGTAGCTGCTTCCTTACTTTCCTGATAGGCTAAGTTATCTTGTTCCACACTGGTAGCAGCATCCACCTGGCCTCAAAAATTTTTGATCCTTAGAGGCACTAACGGTCTCCTTACATTAGGTTTCAAGCCTTTCTCAAACTTCAGGCATTTCAGATGCTCAGATTCCACCAGAGATGGCACAAAACGGGACAAATCATTGAACTTAGCCTCATATTCCCTTATCATCATATCACCCTGCTGCAAGGTCATAAACTCCAATGCCTTTTATTCCCTGTAGCTCTGAAGGAAGTATTGTTCATTGAAAAGATATTCAAACTACTCCTAAGTCATTTCAGCAACATTAAGCCTTCTTCTAACTTGCTTCCACCAGTTGCTTGCTTGGCCTTCCATTTTATATACAACGAATTCTATCCGGTATTCTTCTGGCACTCCCATAGTATCTAAATGTTTAACTATGAAGTCTAACCAGAATTCTGCTTCTTGAGGTCCTCCCTCACTATTGAATGTGGGGATGGGTGCACGGCTAAATTCCCAGAAGTAACTTTGCTTCCTATCCTCAACCGGCCGCTCATTCTGAGCTCTAGTGGCCATGCCTTGAAAGGCAGCATACATGGCATCCAGAAACTCTTGGTTCTGTGGAGCCGGGTTGTTAACCGGCCTATGCCGTGGTGGCATCTCCTTTATCTGAAAAGAAACTAGACTGTTCAGTGGATTCCTAATGTCACACATGCATGTACAATCTTACGGATTCTTAACCTAGGGCTCTGATACCACTCTGTCACACCCCCCAAACGGGGTGGGTGACGTGGAGCTCGATTAGGGGTTAATCGAGTAAATTCCCAAACGAGCCCCACTTAACTTGATTAAAATATAATATGAATTCCTAAGTCCTGAGCCTCTGACAATACATAGGGCTCCACCCACAGGACAAACAGTATTGTACATACATGAACATGTAAATAATCATTACAGACACCAATCACAGTCTAGTAAATCCAAATATTACATGAGTTTACAAAAGTTCACTTCCTTACATTTATATGTCAGAGGATGAACACAATCCTCGCTTGATCCAATAGTAGCAAATATCCAGCTACTTCGCACTGCTCCTAAAGTCCCCTGGGAGGGATTAACATTTAAAAACATTGAAACGTGAGCGAAAGGCCCAGTCGGATATATTTGAAATAAACTTTATAAATAAGTGAATAAATAAATGTGTGCGTAAATAAATAAGACATTCAGTTCCAACACAATAGCTGGAACCTCAAATCTTTTTTCTCAAAGGAAATATAACTGAAAATTACCGTATTACAGGCATCAGCAAGTAATTTGTACAAATTACTTACACAACCAAGTGCACAAGCCTACCCGGACTGCGTTTCGGGTTCTGGCCCCCGAGGATGCACTCTCCACATCCTATCTAGGCCATCAGCAATATTTTCTTACCGGTTTGCAAGATCTCTTTCATTAAGAAATCATTTATTAAACATTATGAAATCGTTATTATAATTCCACTACAACAAGCCGTGGGTCCTCATGAACTACAACAAGCCATGGGTTCCATGAACTACAACAAGCCACGATTTCAAATTATTTTTCTTTTGCAAACAAGCCCCTTTTTTTAAAACATTCGCAAGGCCAAAAATCCTTTTGAAAATCAGGCTCACAAAGAAAGGGATAGAAATCCTACCTCAAATTTACCAAACCTGTGGCTAGCGGCGTACTATCCTAGCTTCCGCTTCCTTAAGCCACTCAGTTCGAGTCCTCAGCTATCACTGTCACAAGACAATACTTTAGGATTCCAATCTTATTCCTAAAGTAATTTAGACTCAATCATATCCTTTGATTTTTCTATTAGTGTGCCATAATCAATTCCATGTTTCAAATCATAATTCCAAGGGTTTTAATTCGAAAACATGGATTCAAGATGTTAATGCATCGACTCTAGGTCCCCAAATGAAGCTAATTTGGGTCATCCCAGAAAACAAGGGTCAAAATAGTAATTTCAGGCCAAACAGGGTCAAACCCCGTGTACACCGGTGGTGTGCAATCCGGTCGACTGGTGGCCTCAGTGTAATCCGGTTAACCGTACAGGTCGACCGGTGAAGAACTCCAGTGCAAGAAAATTTGTGGAAATCAGTTCAAAAACCTGCAAATCCAGTCCCAATTCACAATATCTCAAGGGACAACACTTGACTCCGGGTGCTAGGCACTAAAATAAGTCCAAAGAACCCAAGATCCCCAATTTCTACCCTAGTTTTACTCAAAATGCATCAAAGTTTGTTTCGGACCAAAAATAAGTTTTAGAATCCAAAATCTAGAGATTCAAGGGAGGTTTTTCAGAAATCATACCTTGAATCCTTCTCTTGACGTTGAAAACTCTTTGAAACTTTCCTTTGGTTTGAAATCCGGTTGATTTGAAGCAAACGAGAGAGAGAACCAAGAAAGTGAGAGAGAGAGAGAGAGGGGGGGGGGGGGGGGGGGGTGCACGAGAAGGAAGGAAAAGAAAAAGAAAGAAAAGGAAGAAAAGAAAAAGAAAAAGAAAAGAAAATAGACATGTACTAACATTTAAAGAAAACAGTCCAGAAATACGCCAATACACACTTCTGGGTTAAAATAAAAATTACTGAGAATATTTAAATACCTTGGAATTATTTAAATTACACGTCAGAAACATTTATTAATCAAAACCTAATTAATTAAATCAGATTAGGCACACTAATAAATCTTAATTATCTTAATTAATTCCACTTAATTCTTCGGGGTGTTACACCCTATAGGGTTGGTAGAGCCATGGAACTCTGGCGCTTTCATATGATAAAACCTTTGTAGAATTGTAACCTAATGTTCATTATTTACTGGTTGGTAGTTATGTTCCTCAACTGCTACATGAGCGACTGGTGCAGGTGGTATTCCTTGACCATCCTGACCATCGACTGCAGGGGGATCTTTCGGTACTCGTAGATCCTCGTGAATTGGCTCTGCTCCTACTTAAGGTATCTGAGCCTGTCGTGCTAGCTGTTCACATAGAGCATTCATCTCTTACTGTTGCGCTCTTAACTGTTGTCTCATTTCGACTATCTGTGTGGTCAAATTGACCTCCGGCTGTGTTCTAGCCGCCTGGTCTAACGGTTGATCCATGATCATCCATTAAAGGAAAAGATTATTTAAGTTTTCCTTTCTTCCTGATGTCTAAAAGCTCATTCACTATATGCGAAACGAAGTTCTATCGCTATAAAGATACTTAAAATCTTGCTAACTTCTTTGATAATTTCTCTCTCATAGGCTTTTAATTCCCATATAAGTCTTTAATATAATACAAGCATAAACTGTTAATTTCTAGATAAGCTTGATTTCTTATATAACTTAACTTTGATACAAAACTGTTG